GGGGGGGGGGGGGGGGGGGGGCATTACCCGGCTTCGGCTAAAAATAGGATACCCTCCTGCGTGATCATGAACACTCGTCTCATGACGCCCAAGCTCAAGCCTTTTGCCATGCTCATGCCTTTTGCCACTTCCCGATCGGAGTGGGAGTAGGTCCGGAAGTGCGAGATAGTGGGTGTGCCAAGGATTTTTAGGAAAGTGGGGGTTGGAGATTGGAGTCCCAGGTCAGAACTGGGGTGTCCGTTTTAGGAAAGTGGGGGTTGGAGATCGGAGTCCCAGGTCGGAACTGCGGTGTCCGATCTCGAGAAACGAGAACGGCCCAATCGGAGAGGGTACTGCAGCAATTGGTCAGCAGCCCCGTCGTAGTCATACACGGGGGGCCTCTTTTCGAGCCCAACATCGACTGGGCAGAAAACCGCGCACGTGTCACACACGACTGAGTTTCAAGGCAAATTTTAAGAAGACTGCGAATCCAATCAGATTTGCTTCGGAATCACAGAGCACAACCTGCAATCCCCATCCATCATGATCCACAAATACCCCAAAACCAAAGGGAGTTATCTACCAGATCCCACCAACGCCCACCAAAGCTATCGTATTCTCTGCCAAGCTCTTCCAGGCCTCACACCCCCAACCTGTTAATTACAGAGCAACACGACTCACCCCAGCTCGGGGGCCAAGTCCCACTAGCAGCGATGAGCTACCTCAACGCCTGAATCTGGACGTGTTCGTGGAGACGTGCAGTTGAGGAAACTCAACACCATTTCTGCACATCTCCGCAAAACCGTCCACATTCAGGTGTTGAGGTAGCTCAACGCTGCTAGTGGGACTAGGCCCCCGGCCACAGTCGTCCCAACAGCAACCCCCAGCTGTCTCTTGAGATGCTGACCCCCAAAACATCCGCTGATCTCTCTACGAGGCCTCAGGGCCCTGCCAATTGCAGGTTACAGGGCAAGGCCCCAGCTCCAGCCAGTGTCGTTCTGGCATCGGACAGCCCATTAGTATCTCTGAATGTTTTTTTTTTTTTTTTTTTTTTTTTTTTTTTTACGATTCTCCGAATGTAACAGCTTCAGCGCAACTTCAGACAACCCACTAGAAATCCCCGACATCTCAAAGAATTCTTAGAACAGATAGGAATGACAAGAGTGTTTCTTTTTTTTTGAAGTACCTTCTTTTTGAAGTAACCAACTATAGACATGCAGAACCGACGGCAAGCTACCCCCAAGTGCTGTCCACTCGAACATCCGAAACCGGCCTCAACTGTCGTGTCCTCAGACCAGGACTCTACCAGGCCTCACGCCTGTCCAAGCTCAGTTACAGGAGAGCGGGACCCGCCCCAGCTCCGGCCAACACCGCCCTGCTGGTAGCTCACGGATGGCCACTGGAATTGCCTTTTTTTTTCTGTTTTTTTTTTCATATTTTAATTAGGGTCCAGTGCCCAAGGCTCCTATTACTTTGAAAAAGATGATTGATGAGGCCGGGGTCCTCACAGTCTCTACCCAGAAAGAACTGAAAAGTCTGATCTGGGAGCATTACCCAGTGTTCGCGTTTTACAAGGACCATCAAAGGACCCGTTAGGTATTCTCGCACTTCACCTTCTAGAAAAGGCCAAAATTAAAAAAAAAAAAAGAAAAGGAAAGGGCGAAATACCTCGCGGTCTTTTCCAGTGGTTGCCTGCTCATAGGTTAAATTAGGGGTTCTCTCCATACTGTTATGATGTGTTATCCTAGCCACCCAACCAACCAAGTCTGCTGTTGAAATCTACTTTAACCTATGAGCAGTCAGCACTTCCCCAGCCTAAGAACTAAACACACCAAGGTCTTTGTTTTTTTTTTTTTTTTTTTTTTTTT